GGCAGAGTTGGCAAACATTTTGAAGGTGGGTGCTTTCTACATGACCTCGTTTGGCCAGGTTCAACTTGAAGCCCTACCAGAGGTGCAAACGATCCCGGGGGCAGGAGTTTTGTTGGAATGTGGAGTCGAGTGTTTACAAAATGAGAAGTCCATACTTTGTTTGTGTAAAGCCACAAGATCGCACCAAATATAGTCACCGACGGTCCTGCCAGGAGAGACTTCTACTGGTGGAGGGCCACAGGAACCCGCCACAAACAAAAAAGAGGCTTGCGTCCTGTTTAGGATTCATCTGGGCAGTCTTTTGGCAATGTTTGGAAGGTACTTTGTACATAACCTTTTCATCTACCTTTTCAATCCTTTTCATACATTTTCTGGGAGGTTGAAGTTGAAGCCCGACCAGAGGTGCAATTGACCCCAACGCCAGGAGTCTTCGTAGGAATGTGAACTGTATACAAAATGATTAGTCCATAGTTTTTGGTACAAACATTCAGGATCACACAAAACATAGTGAACTCTATATATACATTCTTATGTTTTTACATGTTTTTACCGACGGTCCGGGCAGGAGAGACTTTTGCTGATGGAGGGCTACAGTCTCCCTCCGCTCCTTTTCGCCGGCGTCGACTACCGTGGGACCCCGCCAGAAGCAGAGAAGAGGCGCGCGTCCCGTTTAGGATTCATCTGGGCAGAGTTTTTGCATTCTTTAGAGAGTGCTTTCCAAATGTTTTCCACATGGCCCTTTTCGGGCAGGTTGAAGCTGAAGCTCTACCAGAGGTGCAACCAACGGTCCCGATGCCAGGAGTCTTCCTGGAGTCTATACAAAATGACAAGTGCATACTGTTTGGTGTGAAGTTCAAGGATCACACAAAATATAGTGAACTCTACTCTACGCTTTCCACCGGCGGTCCTGCCAGGAGAGACTTCTGCCGATCGAGAACAGCTGGAACCCGCCAGAAGCAGAGAAGAGGCGTGCGTCCCGTTTAGGATTCTTAGCAATGTTTGGAAGGCGCTTTCTATGTGCCTGTAACTGTGCCCGTATTGGGCAGGTTGAAGTTGAAGTTCGACCAGAGGTGCAAACGATACCGATGTCAGGAGTATCCTCGAATGTGGAGCGTATACAAAAAGACTTGTCCATAGTTTTTTTGTTTGAAGTTTCAGGAGCACACAAAATATAGTGAACTTGGCCCGACGGTCTGGCCAGGAGAGACTCCTGTTGATGGAGGGCCACACGAACCCGCCGCAAACAGTAAAGAGGCACTTAAAGAGGCTTGCTTCCCGTTTAGGATTCATCTGGGCAGAGTATGGCAGAGTCAGAGTTCAGCATTCTTTAGAAGGTGCATTCTACATGACCTTTTTTGGGCAGGTTGAAGCTGAAGCTCTACCAGAGGTGCAACCAACGGTCCCGATGCCAGGAGTCTTCCTGGAGTCTATACAAAATGAACTACAAAATGACAAGTGCATACTGTTTGGTGTGAAATTCAAGGACCACACAAAATATAGTGAACTCTACTCTACGCTTTCCACCGGCGGTCCTGCCAGGAGAGACTTCTGCCGATCGAGAACAGCAGGAACCCGCCAGAAGCAGAGAAGAAGAGGCGTGCGGAATTCATGTGGGCAGAGTTTGTGCAATTTTTTGGAAGGGTCTTTCTACAGGACCATTTTTTGGCAGGTTGAAGTTGAAGCTCGACCAGAGGTGCCAAAAACCCCGGTCGCAGGAGACTTCCGAAATGTGGTGTGTATACAAAATGACAAGTCTGTACTGTTTGGTGTAAAGTTCAAGGATCACACAAAATATAGTAAACTTAAACTCTACCGTTTCTGCTCCGGACCATCGCCGGCCAGGAGATAGTTCTGATGATGGGGGGCCACAGGAATCTGCCAGAAGCACAGAGAAGGTTGTAGCCCAATTGGCCAGTCGAAGGTTTAAACGTTTTCTTCATGCTTTATGTCTTGGCAGGTTGAAGTGCGGCCAGAGTTCCAAACGATCCCCAACTCAGGAGTCTTACAAGTCAATGTTCCCAAAAGTGCAGAGTCTGAGTCTCTACAAAATGGTCACGTCCATAGTGTTGTGAGTAAAATAAAAGTACAATCCAAACATAGTGACTCCACCGTTCTGCTTCGGACCGTTTGCGGGGCAGGAGAGATACCTACTGCCGATGGAGGGCAACAGGGGCCTGGCAGAGTCACAGAGGAGGCTTTCGCCCCACTTGGGCAGATAACTTCTGTACGTCATGTCTTTTTTTTGCGGGCGTTTCCTCAATGACTTGACAGGCCCAAGTGCATTCAGACTTGAACAAAGGCCCCGAGCAAGGAGCCTCATGCTGTGCATCATGAGAATGTGGAATCCCTACAAAATGCAACTTGTTTGTTTTTCCCTTCAAACCACATACCCAAACAAAACATAGTGAACTCTTCCGACGGTCCGGCCAGGAGAGACTTCTGCTGCTGATGGAGGGCCGCAGGACACCGCCACACTCTTCTGGCAGAATGTGACGGATAGCTTTGACACGCAATGACATGCACCTTTTTTATCCTTTTGTAGTCCATTCTTATGTCTATTTTTCATATGTTTTCAATAACCGTCAATAACTATTGTCTTGTCAGGATCAAGATTCACACTTGGAGAAGACACCCGAGCCAGGAGTGTGGATTCTACAACATGTTACATTTCAAGAAAACTGTTCTAGTCGAGCTTTCAGACAAACATATAGTGAACTGTGGACCATCGGCGGCTAGGAGAGACTCCTGGAGCAGGTGCCGTTCAACCGGCAGGAGAGGTGGGAAAGGTGGGATGTGGGTAGCAGTTAGGATCGTTTTGATTCACCTTGGACTGGATGGTATGAAACGATCTTGGAAGATGCATAACCGCAAGCAGCATTTACGCAGTAACGTGGGCTCAAAAGCATTTGTATCATTTTGTAGTGCGGTATGGACATCTTGATACTTGCTGCGCTTTTGATTGTGTTGGCGACCTCACTTGTGCAGTGCCTAGTGACGGCCTGGTGCTGCCGCCGCAAGAACCAGGTGGCCATATGCAATCTTGACCCACGCTTCGCGAAGAAGACCACAGTGGAAGAGAAACCATCTCAGAAACTGGTTTTGTCGGACTTGCCTGACAGTTTGGTGATATCTAGCAGAGGCTATGCTGTGCATCTCCCTTCTTGCGGGCATATTGCTCACTCGAAAGATCTGAAGCGCGTGAAACCTTGCCAGCATTGCTTGAGAAAGCGTGGCTACTAGGGCTGAGCTGAAGGGTCTGCCCGGAGTGCAACCTACTCTCGTGGGCATTGAAATGGCTGTTGAGTGGTGATGGACAGCACGCCCAGAAGCGTTCAAAAAAAGACTGAGTGCTTTTGAGTAGAGCGGCAGCAGATACTTTACTATATGATAATGATTTCACATTCTAATCTGTATTTTGCACATGTGTTCTTGATTTTGTAGTCTTTTGTATGCGCTGGACAGTCTTCTCTTTTCCAGGAGAACCCAATGGCAAGCCTGAGAGCAAACAGAAGGCATGCTGGAATGGAACGGAGCATTTACACATATATACTTTACTTGTTTTTCACATTTTGATTTTTTTTTCACATTTTGTAGCGTGATTTGGTTCTGGGAGCCAGGTGCCTGGCATCAAAGCAACACAGGAAAAGAAGGTGTGGTGGCTCACTTTCTTTATGCGTTCGTTTGAATTTTCATTAGCCCACCCCACACCTATTGATCCTTTTTGTGCGTATTCTTCGTAGGGAGACGTGACTATCAAGAAGGAACCTGGCACGGAGGAGGCAGAGCCAGGTACATGGAGTTGAGTCTCATGGCACTTCCTGGTTGTTTGCCAGGATACCATTGCTATCGTCGCACAGGTTCCCGCAGGCAGGGACACTATATAATATAAAACCCAAAACCTATACAAAATGCAAATTCCATCAATGAACATGCCTTGAAGCATTCTGTTCAGTTTGTAGCGTCTTTGTTTTGGAGCACTTTAGAGTCTGTAATTCCAGGCTCCTACATCTCTCGGGGAGCATGCTTCGAAGAATTCAGCGTAGAGTACATTGCGACTAGCTTCTGCGTGACCGGTATACCATTTTGTAGTGGGTAGTTCCTAGTGGGCGCCATTTTGTAGCGGGGTCAGGTTTACCAGAAAACGTCCGCCGTCCGCCTTAAGTTATTCGAGTGGCTAAGGCTGCCTACGCCAACATGGTGGCTAAAATGGGAGTGCATGTCACCGTGCTGGACATGCTGATCCTGTGCCTGCCTCGGAACAAGAACATGGTTTGTGTAATGCGAGACAATGATGATCTATGCGCCCGACCTGTGGCGCAAATCATTTCCGAAGTCAAGAACGTGACAGTCGCAGATTTGAGTGCAGATCCTGACTTTGGTGACAAAGACACGTGGTTTCTCCTCGCTACGCGGGCTGACTTCAAGAAGGGGGAGTTTTTGACTTTGAATCATTTTCAACCTGGATGGCACAAGAAACAGCTTTCGGCAGAGGATTGGGATGAGTGCCAAGTGAGCACTGTGAAAGATCTTATGCTCCGTGAAGGCAAGAATGCTAGAGACATGGAGGCGCTTTTGAAGAAAGCGAAGAAGATGGATCCAATTGATTTTGCAGCTTGGCAAAATTCCCTCGAAGAAGAAAAAGAGCAGTTGCAGGATGAGTCACAGGCAGTGAAGGACTTTTTGAGCCTGGACATCCACATGGAAAACGTTCCCGCAGATGGCAACTGTGGCTTGTGGACAATGTTATCTTGGGAGAATGGTTTTCCTGCAGCCGTGCTAGAAGATCCAGATGAACACGTCAGCCGCAATCGCATTGCGCAACTACGGAAGGAGACTTCTCACTAATACAAAATGAGTTCTCTTTTGAATTATGGGTTGATACCAATGTTTTGGTCATTTTGTAGTGCAGTGATTGAATTAAGACACCTGAGGAGCTCAAGCACTGGTGGCTGGAAGCTGCCAAAGTGCCACACTGGCGTGATTTGTTCTTCTTGTTCAGGATGGATGCCATTGTAGACGAGTTTCATGCCTATGAGCCTCCACATGAGGGAACCGATGACCAGGACGATGACGAGCAGAGCCATGATGATGGCTTGGATCCAAATGAGCAGGAGACGAAGAAGAAGAACAAAGCGGAGAAGAAGAAGAAGAAAAAGGATAAGAAGAAGGAGAAGGACACTGGTCCAAAGAAGGTTGGGAAGAGTGCTGCTGAAAAGTCTGCAGCCAAGAAACCCAAGAAATCAAAGAAGCTTGACAATGGCGCGTTTTCGGGAGGCAGTGATGAGCTAGCAACCCCTCCAAAGAAGTTACCACCGAGCGCGGATCCTCCATCTACCACAAAGCTTGAGAAGCCGCCCAGGAACGTCAATGATTGCAGGCCCGCGGACTTTGGACAGAAGAGGGCCTCTCGTGGATTCCTGGCAAGGCCAGGGAGAGAAGTGCCACGTTCGCCTGTCAAGGTCAAGAGAGAGCCGGGTGAAGATCCTCGCGCCGAGTTTGAGGTGGGAGAAGAAGAGGATGAGTTGGAGTTGGGGTGCCCGATCCAGAGGAAGCGTCACAAGCGGACTTGCCGCAAGGCTGTGGCGAGCAAGAGCGTGGTCACAAGCAAGGTGGTTAAGCAGTACATGGCCAGAATCGGACTGACTTGGCCCAAATTCCAGCACATCCACTGCAAGTTCCTTGGAGTAGCAAGTTGCAATCTTCCTTTTGGGTTGGCCAGCGGCGGGGCCCGAATCGGCGTTCATTTGCACCCACAGGCTCACTCGCAGGCTCCTATAAAATCCTAAAACTGGATCTAAAAGCTATTTTCAGTCAGTTTAGTTTTCATTTTGTAGTCGAATGAGAGCCGAGGTTTGCTGGTGTGAAGAGAGTCAAAGATTGCCCAGACGGCTCCTACGTTGATTTGCAAAACCGGATGGCCAACGGAGACTTGACTGGTAACTGCCAGGCGTGCACTTTCCTCTTCAGTTGTTGCAACCCGGATCTTGAGCACCTGAAGATGCTCCTTGAGAAGGCGGTTTCAGGAAAGGGGTGGGAACATGTGGAAACGCAGCTGAATGCTCTGTAACTACAATATGAAAGGTCTATATAGTTGATTGAATTTAGGTGAAAGATTTGCATTTTGTAGCCACTGGTGTTTTGGGGAGGAGAATCGGACCCGTTCCTGGATGACCTCACACAGCCGATCATGGATGCAACGCGGAGCCACAGGAGGCAGAGGAGCCCAGCAAGAAGGATGACGACGAAGTGGACTCCAAACCGGAGGACCCGAAGGAATACTTGAAGAAGTTCAATTTCATTGAGCTCTTGAATCCAGGTGAGTGGGGAAAGCGAGTGCCTGCTCGTTGCAAACTATGCAAGACCAAGTCTGCTCCACAGGGTAAGGTTTTTGAGCTACATCTCATGAAATTGTACGCGGTCAAGCACTTCCTGGGACAGCATTTGGAGGGTTCCACTCACCAAAGGAACCAAGCCAAACACGACGAGAAAGTGATGGAGAAGGGTGCCGGGCAGGTCACTCCATGCCAAGGAATCAATTTCAGCGACAAGAGTTCAGCAGGCGCTGAGTTCAAATCACCCAAAAACAATCCAACGTAGATACATCACATACTTTCTATAAAATGACAATATGATATATGTCACAGGTATTTGCTTGGTGTAGTCATTTTGTATAACATTTGTGGTGGTAGTTTGCAGAATAACTCACAAGCTGGGAGGCTCATTGTTTGCTTGGAAGCGAGAGTTTGAGCTTTGGGCTAGCTATTCGAACATCAAGCAGCTTGCAAAGCATAGCTATTGGCGGGATGCAAACCAGGATACATGGCACATGAGATCCGCAACATGCTCCCGTGAAGCGGAGGCGCCGAACTCGGCGTGCCCTGAATGTATGAAGCTGTTGGGGTCGCACTCCGTGGCAAGAACGATTTCCCGATTCTCTATGAAGCATCTATTTGCAAGGCTTCTTAGCGCCCGTCTTTTTTCAGGGTGCAGCGGCTGCTGAGGAGGTTGAGAAAGAAATCAGGGAGAGCCAGACATACAAGCGAGATCAGACACGCACGGAAGAGATCATCGCCCTCAAGCCAGGACAGTTGCAGCAATACGTGCGTGCAAACTGGTTGAGCCATCCTCAAAGCAGTTGCACTGATGCTTACACCACCTTCGTTTCCACGGTTGTGAAGCCTTGTTTGGACTTCAACACTTCTTCAGTTCCAGCAAACTTTGCAGACATTTTGGCTCGCCTGTCGGCGGTTATCGCTTCAGGGCAAGGGGGAGAAGCAGAAATCGCATCATTGAAGGTGGCGCGGGGTGCTTTGAACGGAAAACTGCATGCCCATCCTTTGATCCATGGCCTGACGCTTCAATGCCTAAGAAAGATTGACAAGGAGCAGAAAGGTATTACCACGATGTCGGGAAGGCGTGGGAACGAGTCGGAGCATGAGGCTCTCCTGATCGCAAACGCTGGGTTATCTCTTGCCATTTGCGGAGGCAACAAGCAACTGGCAAAGGAGCATCTTGTCTCAAATATCCGAAAACCATGAGTTTTCATAGTTTTCACACGAAGCAAATGACTCTCTCTCTCTCTATATATATATATGCGTATGTTGTTTTGGAACAGGCTTTTTGGATCTTTTTGGTTTGTTTGCATTTTGTAGCAGAGACAAAGCAAATGACGACTCAAGGGACAACATTGCCCCCCCTGCGTAGAAAGAATAAACCCTTACAGTTATATGTCCCTACTATACATACTATATCATGTCTCAATGTGTGTGTTTTGATTGTGTTCTCTTTTGTAAATGCATTTTGTAGTGTCTGTGTTTTGACATGTTTGGACGCTTCAACCTCAAGGTTTGGAATCACAGCTGGCGCTCTGAAAACCAGCCTGGATGATTTGGCTTTCCAAAGCCTTCCAGCCCCAGCATTAGCGCTGTGCTTTCCAGGAGTCCTCAGTCAGAACTTTGGCTTGTGCGATGAAAGGTATCCCTTGCATGACACCGGCAACAAGCGCAACTTGGTATTTGAATTATGCAACCTTCCGCAGGAAACACGTAGGCATAAGATGGCATAAGCATGCATAAGCACACTCATAGGCACTACAAAATGTAATACTTCATTGCTTTTAGTAGCTTTTTTATATGTTGTATGCTTTTGTAGTTGTCTTCAGGTAGACTTTGGGCCAACTTTGACGCTACCTACCTGACTGCCTGTCTTTGCCAGACCACCCTTCATCAGAAGCGTGGATTGGTTGGGGGGGGCATACACACCTGGACAGGAGGCAATCGCATTCATCGATTTGGATTGCGAAGGGCTTGAGGTCGAGAACATTCCAAAGGCCAAGTGTATGCTGGATTTCTTGGTCTTTGATCCGATTGGTTCCGACAAAGCTCCACTATCAGTTTGCTCTCTACCAGTTGAAAGTGCCTTCCGCGGTGTGCACGCGACCCACAAAGGATGTTGGGCAATGATGGAAATCGTTGGCAAAATCCTCGTTGAGAGCAACGGCCTGATTTGTGGAATTTCCTTTGATGCCCACTGCACTCATGCCTTTATCAGGCAGTGCATTCATGGAGACTTCACAGACATAGACCGTGAATCTTTGAAGGATGTACCCTTCTTCTCAGAACTGAAGCACCGCCAGATGCCACCCAACAAACTGCCTCGATTGCCGATTGCTGTGTGCCTATACCGTGGAGAGCCGTTCTACGCTCAGCCAGGGCCATGCAGCTTAGCTGGCTATACAATGCGCAGGTCAGTTTGCGTTGAGTTTTTTTTTTAAATGGGTCATTTTGTAGACGGTATGGTTTTTGTGCGATCCCTTTGCTTAGGCCACGCAACCAAAAACTCAAGCGGCCAGCTATGTAGTCATTTGAGAACACTGTGGTATGGCAATGTCTGGACGGATTCGAGTCAACTGATCAGTCATGGATGTCCACCGGTCGCGTTCTCGCGAGCAAATCCAATGTCAGACCGATTGAACAGCATGCTGCTGAATCCTTACTACTTGGTTGATACAGTGGCAGCTTGTCATTGTTTAGATGGCTGTGGGGGTTTCAACAGAGTGGTCAATAGACAAAATTTTCATGTCAACTTGAAAGTAAGTCATTTTGTAGTGGGCCACCGAACACTGAGGAAGGAACGCTTGCGTCCATGAGCGTGCATTGGTCCCTCAAGGGGATGTGTGTCCACAACGTCACAGTCGCCCTTTGCATGGCAGGTCCCTTGCACAAGGATCTCACATTGGCTCAACGGGCCGAGTGCAGCCTGAGCGGCTTCATATGCCTGGATTTGTTCCGCATTCTCAGCGAACGCAAGGCCAACGAGCTTGGTTTGCCACGTGGTGCATGCTTTATGGCCAGGCAGACGGTCGCAACGTTGCAGGCGGCGGCGCTGAACAGCGTTGCCATGGCAGTCAGCAAGTCTCCAACCTTTTCGTGCTGGGAGACAGGTTTTGGAAGAATCTCAGAATTGCCAATAGAACAGAACTTTGGGCATCTTCGCAGACAGTCTAGCTCAGGCAAGCTCACAACAAGGTCTTTCTTCCTTGCGTCTGCGAGACAGGCTCAGAGAACTGGCAAGGCCTTGAACCATTGCAAACCAAAGGTTCCACGGGTTGAGGCGCCACTAACAGATTCGGAGTTGCTTGGCCACTACAAATTGCATTGCGATGAGCATATGCTGGGCTGTTACCCAAATTTGCCAACTTATATTCATTGATATTGGATGATATTGGGGATTATTTGGGTTCCTTCGTTTTGCAAAGGCCCTAGTCATTCCTAGTCATTGTCAATTGGTTGTACAGTTTTATGTACTATATCATGCAATATGTAGCGTCACAAAACATACAAGACATACATATCATTTTGTAGTAAAAATTACATTTGGGAAATCCTTTTCCATTCATCTGTCCTTGAGGTTTGCCACTTGCTGCGAGAACGCTCTTCTTGCAAGCTTGAAGCTTGCCTCGGTGTGCAGTGGCGTCGCAGAAGAGAAACTGAAACACATGTACGAGGAAGCCTGCAAGGATGAAGACTTCTTTGCTCCTGCTGCGCCTGAAGAAGATGAGATGGAGGAAGATGGTGCAGAGGAGGGTGGGCAGCCCGAGAAGCCTGGTGTAGCAGAAGATCCGGAGTGCTTGCAATTCCTGAAAGTCTTGCAAGATGAGCAGCGCCTTTTGCAGGGAGCAGCTGAGGGGGATCATCCTGTTGATCCCACAGTTTCCCAAAAGGATGAGGTTGTATCCAGGGACTTGGGTGAGCTTCCTGACCTTGACCAAGTCCAAGAGTTGCTGACAAAGCCGAATGTCATGGAGCCATTTCACTTGGAGTCGTCCAAATCTCCCAAGAATGCAGCGAAAGAAAACAAGATGCCGTCAACCTTGTTGGAAGCTTTTGAGATGCAAGGCCGCCAAGACATTTTCAACTTGCTATTTCGCTTAGCGGTGAGGCTTCGGTCAGCTCGTGGAGGAATTGACACCGGGTTCATCAAGAATGCGAGGAGCTCCCGCAAAGCGTCGCGGGGGGCTAAATTGGCATCAGTTGCGAGGCTGAGCTTCAGTACGTTTCAGTCTCTCTTTTTGCAATATGTTGCAAACATACTTCATGTAGTGCTGATTCATTTTGTCTTTATCATTTTGTAGTGATCTCCCTTTTGCTAGGCATAACGAGAGACGCCTGGCCGAGATTGAAGCGGAAAAGCTCGACCCTGTCTACCACAGCCGAGCAAGCCGCTTGGATGGCTGGAGGGAGCAAGTGCGGTCAGCGCAGAAAGAGCTGCAGGTTGAAGTTTCTCCAGTCGACCGAATCATGAATCCTGGATTTGCTTCAGCACAACCTGCGATCGATTAAAATTTTGCATTATAAATTTAATGCGTGATATAAAGACACATGGTTTAGTTTTTTTAATATTTTTCAATTCTTTTTCATTTTGTAGCATCGTTCTTTTTTGCGTTAATTTTGACTAGAGGTGAGTTTGCTATAAAATAAGCACTTAATGTAGATATGTTTTTCTTACACGGTTCTATTGGTTTGTAGTTGGTCGTAGCTTGAGGCCTGGGAACATTGTCATTTTCCAGACGCCTAGCAAGAAGCCGTCCTTGGAGCTGGGCATGATTTTGTCAGTGTGGAAGGGGACACGGAAGCCTAGATTGTATGCAGGAAAAACTCCGGTTGCTTCCTGCGTCGCATTCAGGGCCATTGAGCTTGAAATCATGGACATGGATCAAGTGCCTCCAGTGGATTGGAAATGCAGCTCTTCATCAAAAGTTTGGACTCTTCGCTTGGAAGGATTGGTGTGCATCTTAGACTGTGTGCGTTGCTCCTCGGATACAAGCAAATCAGAACCGACGACGTTGCAGCTATATACTATATATTACGTTTTAATACTTAAAAATAGCTAAAAATATAGTAATATAGTATAATATAGTATATATAATGTCTGCTGGTCTTGCCCACTTGTCAATCCAACAGCCTGATGCATTTTGTATTCCTTTTCCAGGTGCTGAGCCTTTCGACAACACGGGGTTCTACAAAGTGGTGCTTTCAGAAGAGAGTGCACAAGCTCTATCCCGAGTGGTGAACCTCGAAATGCGGGAGATCGGGCCAACAATGGTTCGCGGAAGGAAGCCCAAGAAGCCGAGTGCGAAGGCTGCTCCAAAAAAAGGTCATTTCCGACACCTTCTTCAAGAAGAAGGCTCCCAAGAAGCCTGAAGAGAAGCCGGAGAAGAAGCCGACTTGCCCAGACAACCCTTGCGCGAAGGATTACAAAAGAAGTCAGGCTGGGCATCTGGCAATTCAGACCCAGCTGAAGCGATTGAACTCACTCCATGCTGATGCCTTCCCCAGCTCGGCAGTGTTTGATTCTTCCGGACGCTGCCGTATGGCATTCGATGGAGCGCAGAGCTTTACAGTTGAGGATTTGTTGAAGGTTGCGCCTGATTGTCTGAGCATCATGCAGCTCGATGCGTCAACGATACAAAATGAAATGCCATCAACTTTAATATATGTTAATATGTTATACCTGAGCATTTTGTAGTGAGCATATTGCTCAGGTACCGGAGCTTGCGAGGCCAGATGGCCTACGGGGAAGCTGTGGAGAAATTGTTCCGGACTATCGAAGATCAATTGAATCGCTCTCCGCCATCTCGCTCTGGCTACCTCAGGCTAATCAAGGAGATCGCTGACTTCTTTTTCGCAGAGAAGACTGCGGCTACTACTAGCGCAAAGATATCCTAGTGAGTGGCAGCTGCAGGAAGCAAGGATACTTCAAGAGCCACTGAGAACTTGTATCGATTCTAGTGTGTTCAAGCTTTTTGTATCCTTCTGTGTATATCTGTGTATTCTTTTGACTTTGTGGAAATGGCGTGGCTTATGCGATTCATTTTAGATGCCCCTGCAAATCCGTGTTCACTGCTAGTAATTGCAACTGCCAGGAGCTACAGCACTCCATTGAACCATGTCCTTCATCTTGTAGTGTGAAACATTGACAAGCGATATGCCGCCCTTCTCTTTCTCATTTTGTAGCGAGCACTTTTTTTTGTAGCGAAGCGATCCATAACTGTCCTGGATACTTTTTTTTTGTGTTGGAGAAGCTGTAGTCTCTGCCTTGGGTTGTTTTTTTTCGGCCACATAGAATACCTATGTGCAGCAGGTCCTTGTTTGGAGATCGGGGGAAAGCCTGAGCTTTGACCTGCCCGAAGGATCCCAGGGAGTAGAGACAAAGAGATCACAGAGACGCGAATGCCAGAGAAGAGAAAAGATTTGACTTGCTTTTTGTAGTGCGGCCTTGCAATCGACTTGAGGATGGTCGAAGAGTACACTCGTCGAGTCGGAAACGGAGTTCCCGTTTTCCGGAGATCACAGTCCGACAAGTCGAGAAATCCATCGTCAAGGTAGGTCAGGCCAGTCATTATGTAGTAGTTTATTTGCTTGCTCCTCCTGAGATATGCTCATTCAGGCCAGTCATTATATAGTAATTTTCTGTCCATTCTCTTGGGGGGTGGGGGTGGGCCAGGCATTCTATAGTCAAATTCTAGGTTGGTCTATGCATTTTGTAGTGCTGCAACCCATGTCCCACTATAAAATCACAGGCCCAACCTCACCTGTGAAATTTTAACGAGGATTCTATTTCAGTGGAGGATGTTCTGTCAATTCTGATTTGACTTGCTGCAAATCCTGGTGAGGTGACTGGGCTCTTAATGACGACTTGCTTACAGTAAAACTCTTCTAGACCAATTGACCACCAATTTTGTTTTGAGGGTTTCGCGCAAACAAGATAAATTACTGCCCTCGGTTGCCTCAGTTGAGACGTTCTTGCCATCGTTTTTGTGTTTGAGTGGCCTGGAATCCGAGTACAAACATCATTCCTGACGATCCCCCAGAGTTTATCCTTGGCTCACTATTGAGCCAAGCGCAACCAATAGTGCTGAGAAACCTCAGTGGTTTTGCAGGGGACCAGTTTTATCCGCAGGCTGGATGCATCTCGCGCTAGGTGTGGCGGGGAAGTGGGGGTAGTGGGGAGACCGAGGGACGGTCCATGACCCAATGAAGCCAGTGATCCGAAAAGAAGCCAGAAAGCGGGGCAAAGTGAGGTATAGATGGTATAGTGATGGTTCGGTTTTTCAGTGAAGTTTTAGCATTTTTAGTTTCAATCAATCTTTGATCCAAGCAGGCAAACCAGCTTCAAAAGATATCTGAACCTGACCCGCCTAGATCTCATGGCCAAGACAGGGAGTCAGGGTGTGGGCCAGCCACCGTTGGCTCAAGGCGGCGGAGATCTTGAGTCAACGAATCGCCTCATGTGTTTAGATGGCGACTTGGGGAGTTCACTCCAAAGAAGTTCACTGCAATGAAGAAATTCTGGAGTCTCACTTACTTGACACCTAAATAAAACATATTTACATCACAATGACCTTTTTCAAGCAGCGGTGCAGCTTGGAGCGATTTATTTGAACCGCCAGGGTGGAGAAGCCCAGTGAGTTCGGGAGACCCAGGGCGGAAGGAATTTCTGGACACTTTTTTTGTTCATTTCGTACCTGCCTAGTAACAGGTGCCACGCTAGTAGTAACAAGTGCCTTACTACTAGTAACAATAAAGCTAGCAATAACAAGTGCCTCACTAGTAGTAACAATGTTTGCTATTAGAAACAAGTGCCTCGCTAGTAGTAACAAGTGCCTTACTAGTAGTAACAAGTGCCTGCACACGTCGTGAACATGCAGGGCAACATTAACGTCTATCGTAGAAAACTTTGATCCCATCAGCATTGGACAAACGGCAGATTCCGCCACTGGGGTTCCGAATCTTGGTGGATGAAGGCAGTGCTTGATTCTACCCTTGAACTAACGTAAGATCCATGCAGTGTTGCACCATGCGATCACCACAGGGGCTCCGACCCCACTGGCCAGCCCTCCCGATGATCTCGATGTTCTCCTACTTATATACTTTCCTTTTGGGCTCAATTGCAGCCTCTGTTTGTACATCTGTAGTCTGGGAGAAGACACTGTGAACATGGACAATTGTGTGTGAGAATCGACAACAAGGTGGTTTTGGTATGGTTTTGTTGGAATAATATGCTCATAACATCTCATAACAAAATTCCAGAGCTGGTGCAGATGGCCTCTTCTGCAGGCTTCCGCCCTTCACGCCAGAGAGCTGCCCCAGCTCGCCGGAGGCTGGTGCCAACTTTGGGATTCGTTGCAGAATTCTTAGTTCTTCACTACTTTTCCAGGGTCCAGGGTTGGCCATGCGGCGGTCTTTACTTTTGGGTCTCCCCATGTCTTACTCATATTGATAGGCCAAATATGATAAACTATGTGGTTGAAGACTTGAATGTTATTGAAATAGTCCCAGTTTTGGCAGCCCGTTTTCAAGGCAGGCAGCAAGGTAGTGGGTTTGGTTTGTCGTCCCTTCACTCTTTTTTTGTACCAGTAGCTGGAGAAAATTCAGAACCATGCATCCTGAACTTTCTTTGGGTCTTTGGGTTGCCTTTTTCTACCAACTTAGGTCCTTCCCGAGATTTGATTTGCTATAGGTTGGCACTTTGGCTCGGTATCAATCTTGCTTTGGCTGGGCGAAAGCTTGCTTTGTGGTCCTTACAGAGGCTTGAACAAGACAAAGACGCTCAACCCGGATGGAACATACAAGCCATGGAAAGGTTGGGCATAGGTAGCACGCGTTTCTCTTGTCAAACCCTTTGAGGGTCATATGGGCACATGACGACCCACTTGGCGGGCACATGACCGCGGCTGGTGCTTGCCAGACCTCTCAATACCCACGTGGCAACAGTTTTGGGACAATTTGCCCATAAAATGAGGCAAGATTGTGTCATTGACATCCCTCGTGGACATATGTGTGTAGCTCCAACATTTCCAACATTTGGTTGATTGCCAGCTCATAACTTGTGTACCACTTGGAATTGACAAGGCGGCAACCAACCTTTCACCAGAGCCCACCAAATCCCAGGTTCTGAACAACGTGCCACCCGGTCAATGCTTTGATTTTCGCCGCCGCTCCTGCCGCAGCGGAAATCTCTCAAATCTATAGGAACTTATTGCTTCAGGCATATTTTTGCACTGAGCACCCTGGCGGCGTCACTTGGTTGACTTGCTGGGGATGTCAGGCATGTCAGGGGTCCTGCAGGTCACTTGAAATTGCAAAAGCCTCTTGGGAAATTGGTGCACGGTGGTCACGGGGGTATGCGCATCAATTGCCACATTGACCTTCTGTGACATTCTGTGTGGATTGTGTGAGGACCAGAAGAGTCCCTTTTGATTTATGATTTGTATAACGCCTTCCCTGCGTTTCCCAATGCCAGGATCGCCCGGATCGAGACCAACAGGGGATCGCCCAGCTGACCGAAAACTGGCCGAGGTTTTGTGAAGTCATCACCCAAGCACACGGGCGGCCTATCGCACGATGATGGGCAATCATATACAGGATGTTAGTCAATTGGACATGCGTCACCTAGCTGCAGCTTCCGATAGGTGGTGTCTGTGGTGCCTTATTTTGGGCAGGTGGTGCTTTGAAAGACCGGAAGCGTGGATGTGGTCCACAGAAATGCCCTTGACATTACTTTCCCTAGAGCCTCGAAGGTAAAGATGAATGTGTTTAAGTTTTCAAGGTTCCTTTTCTGCTTGCACCAGCAAGAGCCGATCACACCCGAGATGAAACTCTATTGCCTTCTAGGGTGTCTAGAATCACGATTAGAGACACATGGCTGCCAGCCACTCTGCAGGTCCAGGGGTTGTGAGGCAGATTTCTTGGCGGGCTCTGAACATTCCACAGGCTGCGCCGCCAAGAGAATGTACTTATCTATGAAGTCCAACGCTTCCTATCCACCAAGCAACAACCTTATTAGCAATCCAAGCGTGAGCCTTGACCTAGCAGAAGCTTACTTCGACTG